CAAAGCAGGTGCCTTCAAGAGGTGATTATTTAGCTCAGGGGGCAGTGACTGTTTCATTCCAATAACTCTCTGGGCCTGATAATTTAAAGGGGCTCATATTCCTCAAATAAAAAGTTTCTTTTCCTTCTTTTTCTCCCAAGATTGACAATATTTGAGCTCGTATGGATGTAAGTTGGTATAACTAGGACATTTTCGATAAGATTGAAGATAAACATACTTACCCCACAACCCAGAGATTCCTATTCTAAGTAAACGCCTTGGAGAAGCTTTTACACAGTGATACCTCTGTAAGTGCCCATTGCTACAGCGTTTGAAAGAACCTAATTTCTCTTCAGAAAGAAACAAATAAACCAGGAATAATTTATATATAAATTGTATAGAGGAGTCAAAATGCATGTATAAACATGGAATGAATTTCAAAAATAAAGTGGAGTGAGAAAAGTATCAGCATATCATTTCTATTAAGTTTAAAAATTAAAAACTATATAAATAAAAATTGTAAAATAATACATATAATACATATGTGGGAAATGTGTGTATATGTATGTATATATGTAATAACAGAATTTGTTTGTGTGCTGGCAGGAATGGCAGGAATGATAGAGCAGACAAAGAAAGATTGATGATCCAGGAAAAGGAGGACCTAAAGAGTAACCTCCTAGGGAAGGAGAGAGGGATGGGATTCAGAGCGCCAGTGGAGGGATGGGTCTTTGAAATGAACTGTTCTTAACATCTGTTTGGTGATTAGTTAAACTTGAGGTTTGGGGTAAGCAAGGTAAGGTAGTGGAAGGGAACTTTCTTCTCTAGGTAATTTTTCTGCACTTACATAAACAAACAAACAAGTAGTAGATAAATTGTGAGAGAAAATATAAGAAAATAAAATCTGCCAGCCTTTCCAGCCTGAGCAAGAGTGAGACCAAGTCTCTACAAAAATTAGAAAAATTAGCTGGGTATTGTGGCTCACACCTATAGCCCCGGCTACTTGGGAGGCTGAGACAGGAGGATTGCTTGAGCCCAAGAGTTAGAGGCTGCAGTGAACTATGATGATGCCACTTGTACTCTAGCCTGGGCAACAGAGCGAAACCCTGTGTCAAAAAGAAAAGCAAAAAAAAAAAAAAAGAAAAAGAAAAGAAAATCCAAACCATAACAATGTTTAGGGTATAGAAAGTGAGACTGCTTCTCCTACATCAAAAGTTAACTTTATACTCATCTATGGAGCTGCAGCCAATAGTACTAATTTCCTAATCTCTCTGTAAGATGAAATACTTGAATGAAATTAAAAGTTGAAGCCCAGATTTATGGGTTCAATTGGGAGCTCAACTCTCAGTGTCTTATGCCCTGAACTAGCACAGCCCTGCTAACTGAAATGGGATCTTAGTCGGGTAGGTATTCTAAACCTGCAAAAACTACAGTCCACATAATGTATGTACTACCGCAGGGTTTTCTACCCAACAGTGAAAAGAAACGGGGGGTTTCTGTGGAAAAAAATTTAAAAATTAAAAGTTCCACATATATATTAATAATAACTAACAGGTGCATGCCATCATGCCTGGCTAAGTTTTGTATTTTGTGTAGAGATGGAGTGGGGTATGTCTCACTGTGTTGCTCAGGCTGGTCTCAAACTCCTGGTCTCAAGTGATCCTCCCACCTCAGCCTCCCAGAATGGTAGGATTATGGGAATGAACCATGGAGCAGGTCAGTTTATAGTATTACTGATTAACCCCATTACTGAAAGATTTATTAACAATGTCTCTATAATCTTTTACAAATGTCTTAAACTAGTAAATGCAACTATGTATCACCCAAAATGTCAACAGTATAAACTGAATTGACATAATATATGAAGTTGTATCATTTCAGGACTTAACAGCAATTTGTAACTGCTGTTTCTTATTGCATAAATGCAACTAAGTAGCCACTGTGTGACTACTTGAGCAACCAAGTGGTAGGGTTAGGTAGATAGCGAGTGATTCCGGTCTCCTAGGGATGAAAGTGGGGTTCTGTTGCCTTGCTGCAATTGCCCCACCTGGGCAGAAGGACAAGGGTGAGCCTCAGGGCCCCATCTTGGTCCTGCCCCAGCCTAATCCTCTCCCCAGGGACTGCCATACCTGGGGGAGGGGGGAATACCCTATGAATCGACCAATATAACATAGCATGCCAGATATAAAAGAATGCACAGGACTGGATAGCCCATGGGCCAAGATGCACAGGTACCATAGAGTCTGGAAGTAACCTGGAATACCCCTCATGCTAGTAAGACTCAAGTCATGCAACTCCCAACTGTCCACAGTGGTTCCACGGTGACCTCTGAACCAGAGGGAGGTCCCTATCCAGGCACTATAAAACAAGATGCAGACATAGCCAGCCCCTTTTTTTTGTCCCTTTCCTTTTGCTCTCTTCCTGCTGCGACGATGGGTCTGGTTGTCATCTGTGGCGTATGTATCAGGCTCTGTAAACCTATATCTTGCTCTTGCCCTACAATCCCATCTTCCTCTCCTCAATAAACCTCAATTTCATGCTTGCTTTGGTGTGTCTGGTCATTTTTCAACCCTGAGCGCACCAAGAACCGACATTTCAGACTGAAAGCTGACAGTGGCCAGGAAGCCAAGGAAATGGAAGCGTATGTGATATAGAGCTGGTGTGTAGAATGGTTAAGGGAGGACATTTGAAAACAAGAAAAAAAATCGCTATTTCTAATTTAATAGAACATATATCTCCATAAGCATTAATGTGAACATGTATAAAACTATGAAATAGGTTGTCCCCTGGAAATTTTTCCTTTAGTGTCTGCTTCATCTTATTACATCTCAAAAGGGCTCTTTCCACAGGTCCAGTGCTAAGTGGTATTTTCATAAACCTTTTTGGTTTTTTTTGTTTGCTTTTGCCATCTAATCACCTACTGCCTGACAGGTAAACTGAACAAACAGATGTGGCTCCCCTTTATATTGCCTTGTTCTTTTTTCCTTTCCTTTCTTTTCTTTTCTTTTTTTTTTGAACGTTAAACATTATTATTACTTTGTAGCTTTTTAAAACATTGATGGACAATCCGGTTGTTTTCGTTTTTTGGTATCATACAAATAATGCTGTAGTGAATATCCTCGTACAGATATTTTGTATAGATTTATCCTATTCTCAATCAACTCTTAGTTATTCGGCACCTACTATGTCCTAATCATAGTTCTAGACACTGGATACAGCAGTGCATTAAACATAATTTTTTACCCCAGTGGAGCTCATTTTCTGGTGGGAGGAGAGAGAAGAGTTAAAATAAGTGAAAAGTGTATTAGATGGTGATTAGTGCTGTGGAGAAAAATAAGAAATTTTGACCAGGAGGTTTAATTTTAAATAGGACAGTTAAGGGAAGGCCTTACTGAGAAAGTGTCATTTGTGTGAAAACCTGAAGGAAGATGGAAACAAATCACATGTATGTCTGAGGGAAGAAGATCCCAGATACAGGGAATCAGGCGTGCAAATGCCCTAAGGCATGGTCTCTTCTGTGGTTTCGAGGGACTTGGTCCAGGAATGGCAAGAAGGCCAGTGTGGCTAGAACCCAGAGAGGGAGGGGGAACCTGATAAGAGATGAGGTCTGATCATGGACAGCCTTATCAGCCATTGTAAGCATTTTAGCGTAGACTCCGAGGTAAAGTGAGTATCTTTGGGAGGGTTTTGAGTAATGACAAGAAATGATTTATGTTTTAAGAGGGTCACTCAGGCTATTGTATTGAGGATGGCCTGAAGGAAGGTAAAGGAGGAAGGAGAGACTAAGTAGGTTTTTGCAGTGATGCAGGAATGTTTGGGACAGGATTAAGGAGGTGGTGATGATGAGGGGTTGTTGAATTCTGATTCTATTTTGAAGGTAAAGTGGATGGGATTTTCTAAGGAATTGTATGTGGGGTGAGAGAGAAAGGGAGAAATTAAGGATATCTCTTAGATATTTGGCCTATATAACAGGAAGAGTGGAAGAGTCGTTAACTGAAATAAGGAAGACTGTGGGAGGAACACACTTGGGTGTGAGGGTGAGATCAGGAGCTCGGTTTTGGTCCTGTCAAGTTTGAGATTTCTATTAGACATCCAAAGTGAAGATCTTAAGTTAGCAGTTTGAGTCTCTAGTGCAGGAGAATGATCTGGGCTGGCAATACAGATTTGGGAATCATACACATATAGATAATATTTGAAGCCATTAAACTGAGATCACCTAGGAAGCTAGTGTAGATAAAAAGATTAGAGGGTTAGGCCTGGAGCCCTTAATTTTTGGCATTCTGAGGATGTAATGAGAAAATAGCGAAGGAGACTTAAGTGGCAAGTGAGATAGGTGGAAAATCAGTATGTGTAGGAGAAGTGAAGAAACTTGAGGAATGAGAACAGACCTTTGGACTTACATTGTGGAGGTCACCGGTGACCTTGAGTAGAAGTTTTGTTAGGCTGTTGCCCGGTGAAGCCTTGATTGGTATGTTGGTCAGGGTTCTCCAGAGAAAAAGAACCAATAGGAGACAGAGAGATAGATCAGAGGGGATTTATGAGGGAATTGGCTCACACGCAAATCGCTTTATTCTTGAACAGATGTTTAGAACTTCCCTTATATTGTAAGTTCTGGCATGTGCTTACATTTTTCCTGAGACATCTATAACTTTCAAAGGTGTTAAAAGGGGTTGGTGACCCCAGAGAAAGGACCACTGCATTAAGATAAGCTATCATTCCTGGGCGGGGTGGCTCACGCCCGTAATCCCAGCACTTTGGGAGGCCGAGGCGGGAGGATCACTTGAGGCCAGGGGTTGGAGAAGATCAGCTATCCTGTGCCACGTGGAACCGCGCGGCGCTGGCTTCCCGGCTCCCCTGGCCTGGGGCTGTGCTCCCGGCGCCCTCCCGAGCAGTCCTCCGAGGCGCGGCCCCAGCAGGGGTCGCTACTCCGCCGCCTCCGCGCCCACGCCCCGCCCGGCCCGCTCGGGACGCGCCGGCGCCGGCGGAAGGGGCGGAGCTGGGGGAGGGGCGGCCAGAGGCCTGCTGTCGGCGCGGCGACGGAGAGGGACGAGCGGCCCTGCGGTCCAGGTGAGTGCGCCCCTGCTGGCGCGCCGCGCCGCGCCTGGGCCCTCGCCCCGCTGCTGCCTCGCCCCGCGCACTTACGAAACTGGAGCGGGAGCCCCTCCGCCCGCCCACGCCCCTGCCCGGTCTCCGCGTGAGTCCCCGTGGTTCTGACGAACCCCGCCAGCCTTGGGACGCCCCCCATGCCGGGGGCCGCACAGGGGCTGGGGGGAATGGGTGGGGTAAGCCTGGCTGTCCCTGGACCCAGTCGCTCCTGCTGGCTCCCAACGCAGACCGGGAACACAGAGACGTAGTTGTCCGGTTTCGTTTGACCTTGGGAAGCCGGGAAGGTGCACAGCCCGCCGGGGTGGGGAGGGAGCGAGGGGAACCCGACCCTGTCTCGGCCGGCAGCCTCTGAGGTCTGCAGAAGGAAGGGGGTTTTAGCAGCAATAGACCGCAAAGCGTTTAGAGCAAGTTCTTCATCTTACGGAGCAGTGAACAGGCTCAGGAACGTGGAGTGGTTCCCAGCGTCAAGCAGGTCAAGGACAGCATTGCCTCTGTATCCCAGACATTGCTTTTCTTATAGTCTTCCGTTATTTTGTACCTCTCCTGAAGATATCACCCGAGGCCTCCTGTGGGCTGCTTGTTGTGATCAGCCCCCCTAGTCATGTTCACACAGCTGCCAGAGACACCTTTCAAATTGCACTTTTACCACTTCCCTACTTAAGGTCTTTCGATGGCTCCCGTGCTGTCTGGGTCAGGTCCACACTTTTGATGTATGAGGGCCTCGGAGATCTAGCCCCTTGCCCATCAACCCATCTTTGTGTGTTTTGTGGTTCATTCTAGTGCACCAGTCCTGAGCTACTTTCATGCCACAAGTCTTTAATTAAGCACTTAACATGTGCCAGACAGTCTGGGCACTTGGAATTCAGCAGAGGAAAAAAATAAGAAGATTGCTCCTCTTATGGAATTTATATTCTAGTGGGGGAAACAGGCAAACAAACAAAACACCCAGTAAATTATATAATAGGACAGCAGGTGATAAATGCTATGGGGAAATGAAAGTAGAGCAGGGTAAGGGGAATTTAGAGCACAAGGTGGAGTAAATAAATAGAGTTGGAATGGGTAGGCCTCATTGAGGTGACATTCGAGTTAAGACTGGAAGGAAGCAAGGAGTTCCCCATGTGAATGTCTGAGGTAAGAGTGTTGTTCCAGACACAGCTGGAACAAAGGTCCCTACCCTGAAATGTGCCTGTGTGTGAGGAGCACAAAGGAGGCCAGTGTGGCTGGAGCTGAGCGAACAAGGATGAGTTTGGAGATGAAATGGGGCGGTCAAATCATGTAGAGCCTGTGGACTGTGGTAGGGACTTTGCCTTTCTCTGAGTGCTTTTGTAGGGTTTTGAGCAAAGGAGTGACATCGTGTGAATTACTTTTTAAAAGATTCACTCTTGCTAACAGCCTTTGTAGCAACCCTAGTGATAGATGATGGTGGCCTGAATCTGTGGTAGCAGTGGAAGTGGCGAGACTCTGGACATATTTTAAAAATACAGCCAGGCCGGGTGCGGTGGCTCACACCTGTAATCCTAGCACTCTGGGAGGCCGAGGCGGGTGGATTGTTTGAGCTCAGGAGTTCGAGACCAGCCTGAGCAAGAGCGAGACCCCGTCTCTACCAAAAATAGAAAAAATTAACCGGGCATGGTGGCGCATGCCTGTAGTCCCAGCTACTCGGGAGGCTGAGGCAGGAGGATCGCTTGAGCCCAGGAGTTTGAGGTTGCTGTGAGTGAGGCTGACACCATGGCACTCTAGCCAGGGCAACATAGTGAGACTGTCTCAAAAAAAAAAAAAAAAAAAAAGAATACAGCCAACATGATTTTCTGACAGATATGGATATGCAGGATAAACTCAAGAATGATGAGCTTTTGTTCTCAGCAATTAGAAAGATGGAGCTACCATTAACTGAGATGAGGAAGGCTGCAGGTGGAGCAGGTTTGGGGTTGGAGCTGTATCAGGAGTCTGCTTTTGGACGATTAAATTTGTGGTGCCTATTATGCACCCACGTGAAGATGTCAGATAGGTAGTTGGATATTGTGTTGGGTGTCCCCAGGTTTGTTGACTCACTAAGAGAACTCACAGAACTCAGCATATAATCATACTCACAGCTGTGATTTATTACCGCGAAAGGACACAGAGCAAAACAAGCAAAGGGAAAAGCTGCATGGGACAAATCTGGAGGAAACCAGACTGGGCACAGTCTTTTAAGATTCCTCTCCCAGTGGAGTCACAGAATGCTTAATCTCCCCGGCAACACATTGTGACAAGACATGTGAGGTGTCTATTAGGAAAGCTCATTAGACACTAAGTGCCCTGGGCTTTTATTGGAGGCTAATCATGTAGGCACCCTCTGCCTAGAACCTAACAAAATTTCAGACTCCAAAAAGCAAGCAGATATTCAGCATAAAAGCACATTATTAGTATGAGCAGTTTTCGTATAGAGAGCCACTCCTATCAGCTCTGGGAATGGTGGGGAATGGAGTAAGTCTAATTTCCCAGACACCAAGCAAGGGCCAACCTTGCAAGCAAGCTTTCTTAAGGATAGCGATCTCGGGCCTGCTTTGTTAACTCTTTTCTGCACAAGTCTGGAATTTGGGAGAAGGTTCTGGAATGGGGATATAGATCAGAGTTGGCCTATAGGTAGAATTTGAAGCCATGGAAATGTTTGGTGTCTTGATATGCATTTGTCAAAACTAACTACTGTGCTTAAGAGCTGAGCTAGATGAAGTGAATGTAGAAGAGAAGAGGACCAAAGACTGAGCGTGGGGGCCCTCCAGCGTTAACACGTCAGGGAGAAGAGAAGGAAGCAGCAAAGAAGTCTTGAGAAGTAGCAGCACTGGAGAGGTAGGAAGAAAACCAAGAGTAAGGTGTCCTGGAAGCTGAGGGAAAAGGAGGGGAGTGATCAGTTTTCTCAAGTGCTGCTGAGACGTTAAATGAAATGAGTACTAACAAACGATCTTTTGGATTTAGAAAATCAAAGGAGAGGAATTGAGAGTATAGACACGCTTTTGAGAAGTCTTGTAAAGAGGAGCAAGAAAAGAGGTAGTAGCTGGGGAGGAGAGTGGGTAATAGAATTAAGAAGATTGTTTATTTGCTTGCTTTTGAATGAGAGAAAAATAACAGTGGATGGTTATTCCAACAGCTGATGGAATGGTCCATTAGAAAGCAAAAAATTGCTGTTGTAACTTGCTGTTTCCCCATACATGGGTCAGTTTCAGGTCACCTTTGCTATCAGGACTCCCCATAGGCCTCCTTGCTCTGGGCTCCAGCTTGTGTAGGGTCTAAGTCTCCTCTGGACCTGCTTTCACTTGTGTTTTCTGACAGCCAGTTGCCCACATTGTGCTTAAATGGTAGTTTCTTTAGTACAGGGGCTGTGTGTTTTATACCTGCACCTAGCCAGGCACTTGACATGTGTGGGCAAATGAGTGCAGGTGGATGTAGTAGTGGATAGAATGCTCATTTTCTGTCTAGAAAATGAATCTGCAACTATTCGCTGGTTTTTGTATGTGCTGAGAAGATTGGTGATGAGGGTGAAGGATAGGGCATAATCTGTGCCCTGTTACTACCCTTAGGGTTTGGGAGATAAGAACAGTCCACCTGAACTAATTAGGAAGCCACAAAAGACAGTGTTAGTGTGACCAGAGTCTGGGAAAGGGAGTGTGATGCATGGGTTGGTGGAGGAGGAGAGTGAGGCTTGTGTGGAGTCTGGAAGAAGCGGGGTGGGGGGGGGGAATGGAGCTTGCCAAGAGGACAGAAACTTTTTCAATAGTAGAATCCTTTTTACCCCCAAATAAACTGTAAGGAGCCCAGTATTCAACAGCACTGCTTTAAGTAAAGCGTTAGCTCCCTCCTCTGGCACCCCCACTCTCAGGTTGGGGGGGCTTCTGTGACCAGTTTCAAAGTTCTGACACAGAACCTGGGTTCTCAGATGCCTTCCCTTGTGGCCCTGACCGTCTACTGCTAACATCTACAAATGGTCTTCGTCTCCAACAAAAATTAGGTTAGTGTTTTCTCAGTGTTATGTTTTTCACAAATTTTATGTAAACTTCCAGCATTTGCCAGTGTTTGCCTGCTAGAAAGTGAAGACAAAGAGAGGTAGCTAATAAACACAAAGGTGATACTTGGCTTGACGTTTTGGTATGTTTGTTGTGTTTACATGTGAATATGATTTTAAATAGTTACTTTTTGCTAGTAAAGGTTTCCTAATGTGAGTAAATGTAACTCCTACTGAGTTATGTCTCTGTTGCAGAGAGAAGCATCATATCCAGGCATTCCTCAAAGGAAACAATGGTGTGATATAAAAGTAGGACTTTTGGATGGAGAATGTGGGCACCCAGGGACTAATACAGAGACAGTACTTCCCACCCTTAGCTATGGGCACTTCCCTCCCTCACCCAGGGTGTGTCTTCTTAGGATTTCTTCTGTGATAGTTCTTGCCACTCATACCCCTGAAATTCGGTTATTTTTGATATTGCAGTAGGTGAAAGTTAGCTTTTGTTCAAGAAAAAATGAGAAAATAAATGTCATGGTATGGCAGAAAGAGCACTGAACTTAGAGTCAAGAGACTGACTGGCAAGCTTCAACTTTGGAGTTAGGATGCCTGGCAACTGTGTGGCCTTGTAACTAAGATGGGCTTGTTAGAAGGAGTAAATGACTTAATATGTGTAGAGCAGTGCCTGACCCGTACTAAAAACTATAATCCTTGAGAAGACTTGACACTGGAATCCCAGCTCTGTTATTTTCTAGCTGTGTGACTTAGCCGATACTTAAATTGCTCCAAGTCTTATTTGTACTTATCTGGAAAGTGAGGGACCTGCACAAAGTCATCCCTGAGAGGCTGCCCTTTTCATCTCCACAGACACATGTGGCTCTGGGAGGGGAGTGCTGCCAATTGGGTGGAACGTGCGACCAGATCCTAAGCTCCAAGGCCTACATATGGCCTTTGGCATCATAGCTGATAGCAAAAACTAACTTGCTAAAATCACCTAGACCAGTGTTTTCAAACTTTTCTTCAGTTATCCACAGTAAACACATTTTACATGGTAGCCCAGTGTGTATATGTAATTGTAACAAAAGTTTCATGAAGCAGTATTTACTCTTGCTGTAAGTGATACACTGTAATATTTTCTATATTCTTCAGTTCTAGTTTTTAAAAAGTAAAAATTTTAATAATGAATCTAGAATTTAGGACCAACACAGACTTCTAAGGCTGATGATAAGAGAGCTCTGACCACTTATGGCTAACCTTCCTGTATGTTTTGTGTGGTTGGGAAGGTATGAGAGGCTCTGCTTATGAGTGAATTATTTTTCTTAAAATTTTACACTTTGAAGGATCTATGCCAAAATATTGACAGTGGTTATAATAGAGTGGGTTATGGGTGGTTTGAATTTCCTTTATATTTTTTCTAATTCTCTCCAGTGAAAATATGCTTAGTTATGACTTTTTGGGGGACATTTAATATAAATGTATCATTAATGCCCCTGATATTCAGATAAGACTACTGGTTCCCAGCACTGGGCCACAGGCCTGTCTGTACCAGTCTGGTAAAGTTTTCCCAGGTCCATAATGGGAAAAAGAAAACAACAGTTGGCTTCTTATAATGCTAAATGTATTCAATTTAGAGAAGTTCAATTCTGAGATTATGTCCTTCCTACTCTTTGGGCATTGAAATTTTTTTTTTTTTTTTGAGACAGAGTCTCACTGTGTTACCGGGGCTAGAGTGCCGTGGCGTCAGCCTAGCTGACAGCAACCTCAAACTCCTGGGCTCAAGCAATCCTTCTGCCTCAGCCTCCCGAGTAGCTGGGACTACAGGCATGCGCCACCGTGCCTGGCTAATTTTTTCTATATATTTTTAGTTGTCCGATTAATTGCTTTCTATTTTTAGTAGAGATGGGGTCTCGCTCTTGCTCAGGCTGGTTTCGAACTCCTGAGCTCAAACAATCCGCCCGCCTCGGCCTCCCAGAGAGCTAGGATTACAGGCGTGAGCCACCGCGCCCGGCCTCAGTATATGAAATTTAAGTTTCTTTCTATTAATAAGTATTCATTCTCTATTAAATTAGAAAATGTATAAAAGTAATTTTTGACAACATTTATCTTGAGGGTACTTCAGGTAGTTTCTAGAAATTATTTTAGAGTACTCTGGATTTTATAGCATTTAAAAATTATTTCAAATTATAGTTCTGTTGAAAAACAGTCCTTAAATTGAATCTGCCTTACTTCTCTATTAAGATTTAGACTGGGGTCCCAACAGTGGTGAAATAATAAGAGTTGAGCTTTCGTTGTCCATTCATGCCAGGAATATAAAGCCTAAAATGTTAAATATAAGTTAGAAATTGCTCTGTGTTTTAGAGTGTGCCATACAGATAATTACTGTTGTCTGCTTTGTGATTAATGGAAAGTAGGAAGAAAAAATCATGAGAATCATTATCAAAGAAATCAGTCTTAAGGTATAACCTTGGCAGAAAGGAAAGTCATATGCTGACTCAAGGTAGGAAGATACTGACTATATGGAAACCCTTCTCTCATTACCAAATCCTGGTTTCTAAAACCATCTTACTTGGGGAGGTCTACCACCATCATAATAAGATGGTTTCTGCTGCATTTGAGGTAACTATAAGAATTGATTGTTCACTGGCATGTTAGCATTTCAGTGCCTCAGAAAATAGTTACCTAGTTTATCTCCAGAGTCTCCAGGCCCCTTCTCTGCTAGCCAATACCTCAGTTAAACAGTGGAAAAGAAATATAAAAGGAGGTAGAATGTAGATCTGGTCCAATTTGCTCATTGTTAGCTCTGATTTGCTGTGGTTGGTGGTTGAAATAAAGTTTGGAGATTCACTCTGGGTTTTATGAAGTCATGATCTAATGTCCTTCCTTGGCAAAGTCAATATTGCAAAGATGTAACTTAAGTTAATAAACAGTCTTACAGTCTTCTCTCCAGATTTTTTCTTTTCTTTTTTTTCTAACAAATCAATGAGAACTAGTGATATTTTTCAGTAGCAATCAATACCCAAAACTACTGAGGGGAAGGAAAAGAGTAAAACCAGTGCCTTCATGCATGTTAGTATCTCATTGGACCCTCACGACAACAACTCTATGAGCCAATAAGCACGTTAATTGCAGCTAGAAGACTCACCATTGCCATAGTGTATGGCCCTTGGTACGTGCAGACCCATATGGCTTTTTTTTTTTTTGACACTCAAATCTCTTTTATTGGGGGGGGAAATGGGCCTCTTGGGGGTGGGCCAGGGGCCCTCACTGCACAGCTTGTTCATTGGCGCTGCTTCCCGTCATATGGCTTTTTGTAGGGGAACATAAGTGCAGTACTAGATATAAAATGTTCGTGGTGTGTATGGTTTATGTTGTAAGAATGCCATACTGCACTTGTGAGATAAAACTGATTTATTATCTGTTTCAGGTTATATGCACCATGGCTATGACTAATGTCAGATTGCTTGCTGGTGTTTTAAGAAAGCCAGATGCCTGGATTGGACTCTGGGGTGTGCTCCGAGGGACACCTTCTTCACATAAACTCTGTGCTTCCTGGAATCAATATTTGTATTTTTCAAGTACTGAGTTAAATGCATCAAATTATAAAACACTTTTCCATAATATTTTCTCACTGAGACTCCCAGGGCTTTTAATATCTCCAGAGTATGTTTTTCCATTTTCCATAAGACTCAAAGGTAGTATAAGTTCTAAAAAATCCACTAAAAAGTCTCCACAAAAAGTAGAAGATGAAGAGGACTCTGACGCAGAGCAGGATGACGACGAAATGAGTGAGACAGAAGAGGAGCTCGAGGATGACCCTAGTGTGGTCAAAGACTATAAAGACCTGGAAAAAGTGGTGCCATCTTTTCGGTATGATGTCATCCTGAAGACAGGCCTAGATGTTGGGAGAAAGTGAGTCCTATATGCATTTTATTATATAATAAAATCACTATTATATAATTTTTGTATATAAAAATAAAAGTAGTATTGTTTGCAGCATTGCAAATCACTCTCGCCCATATTGTGATGAAGAATAACCAGATATGAAAGGACCTTATAGGTAATCTCTTCCAATTATTTCATTTTATAGATGAGAGCACTGATTTCCAAAGGAGTCAGGTGACTGCCTGCAAATCCTATGTATCATATTATTTCCTTGAACCCAAGACACAGTTGACTGTAAGATGAGCCACTGATTTAATAACAGCTTCTTGAGGAGAAAAGGAATCACCATATTAGATGTACATAGCAAGCATAAAATGCGCCTGGATTTCACAAATGCTACAATGTGAGAAGGTACCTCTTAGAATCAATAGAAAGAGTATGAGGTGGTGGTTAAGAAGGCAGGCTTTAGAGCCATACTACTGGGGTTTCAATCCTGGTTCTGTGTGCGACTTTGGGCAAGTCACTTAAACTCTCTGTGTCTCAGTTTCCCCATCTGTAAAATGGGGGTAGTAACTTATTTTTGAGGGTGGATGCTAGGATTAAATGAGTATGTATCTATCTAAAGCACTTAAAACAACATCTGACGCGTAGTAGGTACTACATATGTTGGCTATTATCAAGATAATACTGTGTGTTCATGTATAATACATAGAGGTATTAAGTATAGCTTTTAAGGTTTCTTTAATATTCTCATTCTCTCTCTGGTAGACCAATTATATAAGAATAGTGACCTTCATTGTTCATTCATTCCTTTAAGCAATTGGTGTGTGCATATTGCATACAAGGTAAGAATTGTGGTATGAATAAGTGCAGACATTTCCTTGTGTGATTTGTACCTTTACAACCGAAACTAATTTTTTAATCTGTGAAGTTTAAGAGATTCATAAGGACTTTGAGCCATAGGCCCCCACTCTTGGCATCCTGATAAGGATTTGGTGAATGTTCTCTAAAATCTGGTAAACTCATAAGAGGGCCTCTCCTCTCTCAGAGTTGCAGCTGCTGCTACTGTTATTAAGCCAAACCCTAAATGATAATCACTTGGAGTCAGATTATCAAAAGGGAAGGGCACTGATTTTTGTCTGTATCCTCCCCCTGATCTAGTTGCCCAGTGACTTAAATTCAGAGAGATCAGCAGCTGTCTGATTGAAATTTCTCTAACCTCAGTACAGACTGGCAGAGGCTTTCTTAATGGGCCTTGCCATGTGTGTGTTGCCTGGTTCTTCTCTCAGAGCACAGAGCAGGTGCCTGAGGGGAAGGAAATGCCCACTCACTTTGACAGTCACGAATCACCACAGCCTGGCCATACAGTTTCTGCACTGGGAATCAGGTGGAGCACCCCAGCCCCTGTCCTGAGTGGGACTTAATGTGCATGCCAGACCCCTCTTAAAGCCCCATCTAAACTAACTACACAGTGGTGCTAGCACATCTTGGCAGCAGTTAAGCATCTATTCAGAAGTGACCTTTGTTCTCCCTGTTTTAGATACGTTCTGGGGCAGTTGACTTTCACTTTCGAGTGCCCAAAATGGAGGCTTTGTGAGGAGTCACTGTCATAATAAGCATTTATAGCAAATGCTTTTCTCAAACTTGTGTACAGTTGACTCTTGAACAACATGGGGTTTAAGGGTGCCACCGCCTGCCCCCACGCAACCAAAAAAGCTATGCATAACTTTTGACTCCCTCAGAACTTAACTATGAATAGCCTACTGTGGACCAGAAGCCTTACTGATAATAACCAGTCAATTAACACATCTTTTTTGTGTGTGATATGCTGTATTCTTACAATAAAATAAGCTAGAGAAAAGAAAATGTTAAAATCATAAGGAAGAGAAAACATATTTACTATTCATTAAGTGGAAGTAGATCCTCATAAAGGTCTTCATCCTCCTCGTTTTCATGTTGAGTAGGCTGAGGAGGGGCTGGTCTTCACGTCTCAGGGATGGCAGAGGTGGAAAAAATGCACGTCTGAGTAGACCTGTACAGTTCAAGCACATTGTTCAAGGGTCAGTTGTAATTGTCTTGAATATATTTCTGTATTTTAAAGCACATTGCCTTTTTTTTTAATAGCAAAGTGGAAGATGCATTCTACAAAGGTGAACTCAGGCTGAATGGGGAAAAATTATGGAAGAAAAGCAGAACGGTGAGATATTAAATCTATAATGACAGCCAGATATTTTTGTCTGTTGCTCTGACAGTACTCATTTAAAACGCTGCCCCAAATTTCCCCTCACGCTCCTTACCTTCTCTGAGGTCCTCCGTGGTCCTGGTCAACCTGGTGGGAATCACCAATAGGCTTTAGTCACATAGGCCACTTGTACTTTTTCAATCTTAATGACCTTGTGATGAAGTTTCCCTTTTTTCTTTAAAATTTTAGGATAACCACTGTCAGGACTGACAGAAATCCATTAATTAATGGATTAATTAATGTCATTAATGTTAGCCCCCATGGAATCAGAATAAGTAGATGACAAAGCTGGGTGTGGTGGCACATGCCTTTAATCCCAGTACTTTGGGAGGCTAAGACAGGAGGATTGCTTGAGCTCTGGAGTTCGAGGCTGCAGTGAGCTGCGATTATGCCATTGCACTCCAGCCTAGGTGACAGAGCAAGACCCCATTTCAAAAAAAATTACAAAGAAACATTTGATCCATGTAGAGGTGTTCTTTGGCCTGGTATTATCTGAGCATATGTGTAATTTTATTCAGCTCAGCAGTGCTCACTGAGCACTTAGTTGATACTGTGCTCTGTGTGCAGGGCAGCTATCAAAAAGAAAGTTCTGTATTTTCTGACAGTCCCATAATCAATATTATTGTTAAGTAAAAGAAGTCAGTTACAAGAAAATGTATTTCCAGGATCCACTTTTGTAACAGTAAATCATATGTAAGAATTTTGTCAAGAATATAGTTTTGGCCAGGCACAGTGCCTCGCGCCTGTAATCTTAGCACTTTGGGAGGCCAAGGCAGGAGGATCACTTGAGGCCAGGAGTTCAAGACCAGCCTGGGCAACATAAATCTTATTTCTACTAAAAAATTTTAAGAATCAGCTAGGTATGGTGACATGCGCCTGTCATCCCAGCTACTTGGGAGGCTGAGGTGGGAGGATTGCTTGATCCCAGGAGTTCGGGGCTGCAGTGAGCTACGATCATGCTACAATAGTCTAGCTTGGGTGACAAAGCTAGACTCTGTCTCAAATATATATATATATATATATGTATGTATGTATACATACATACACACTATTTTTTTTGGTAAAAATACATATATGCATACATCTGGAATTAAAACTATTACTATTAGTATTTATCTTTGAGTGGGGCATTATGGGTTATATTAATTTTCTTCATGCTTTCTATTTTCCAATTTCTTATCATGAGTATGTATCACTTTCATAATTGGAAAAAACTGATAGTAAAAGTTAACAAAACACAATAAAAAGAGGTGTAAAACAAAGACCCTTAAAAAGTTTGAAAGACATAAGACATATAAGGTATTAGAAGACATACTCTAACTCTTAGTGTCTCCGAACCAATGTTCCAGAGAAATGAGACACACTTTTGGAGGTTGTTTGTATTTCATTTTCTTTCATATTTCAAAATCCCCTGGGATTGGAGGATCTGAGCTACATCCTGTTGCCCTGGGACCTGGGACAGTGAGATTGTTAGCTGGCATCTGGGGGTGAGCACTGCGGCTTCCTTCAGTCCTTGCTCCCTGAGATTGTACAGGTTCTTGCAGCTGCACAGACAGGAGGGGAACCTCCCTGTGATCGTCTTAGCCCCCAAGTCACAAGGCCCAGGCGATCCTCTGACAGCACTTGAGTGAGGAGGTTCAAACGCAGCTGTGAGCCATTGCTCGGTGAGTGAGCTGCTCGAAGTCAGGTGTTCCACATAGGTGCTTCTCCTCCCTTAATTGCTTTTTCTTGACTAGTCTGCCCTCCTCAGCCACAGTATTCCAAAGACAAGATCTGTTCTTGGAGTAAAGAATGACTACTCCCTGAACACCTGTCTTCTGCTGGGGCCTGATATACAAACCCTGCAGGTCTGTTTCTTTCCCCCTGCTTTGAGATACTGTTAACTGGAGCCTAATTGCTGTTCTTCATTCTGCCTTGGGTGTTCTGCTGTCTCGGCTGTCTTCCAGATTTCTCCTGAGGGTCAGCAAAGGAAGGGGCCAATATTAACACTCGGCTGCCTTGTTACTAGGAGGCCTGGTAGCCATAGAAACTGCAGCTAATGGGAGATTTGAAATGTAGATATTGGGAGCAGCCCCTAATCCCAGGCAGTTTTGCTTTGTGTCTGCTGAAGGACAGGGCCTTGGAGGGGAATAAAGAATGCCTCGCCTTCCTTGGCCTGCCTGGTTGGAGTCTGTGCCTGGCTGTGGGCCCCCAGGGGTCAGGTGCTTGTCTGATGCTGGAACTCTAACCCTGGCTGCATGCAGCTGAGCAAAGCTTTTCTGTGAGCTGCAAACCAGGTGGGACCCAAAGTGTGGTAGGCGCTGGGTAACTGTTGACTTAAACAGTGAGTATGTGGAGCCCAAGTACAGGGATTGAATCCTCCCTAAACTCATATCTTCCTGGGATCAGCTGGGTAACAAAAAAATACCCCTTCCCTATTCTCTGCCCTAGAAAGAGGCTCCCAAAAGAATTTGCTTTTGAGCTACACACTGGCCTGCTCTTTTTTTTTTTTTTTTTGAGACAGATTCTTGCTCTGTTGCCCAGGCTAGAGTGCCGTGGCATCAGCCTAGCTCACAGCAACCTCAAACTCCTGGGCTCAAGCAATCCTCCTGCCTCAGCCTCCCGAGTACCTAAGACTACAGGCATGCACCACGATGCCCAGCTAATTTTTTCTGTTTTTAGTTGCCTGGCTAATTTCTATTGTTTTTTTTTAAGTAGAGAGGTGGGTCTCACTCTTGCTGAGGCTGGTCTTGAACTCCTGAGCTCAAGCAATCCTCCAGCCTCGGCCTCCCAGAGTGCTAGGATTATAGGTGTGAGCCACCATGCCCATCCAGCCTGCTCTTCTTTTAAGGGGCAGATATGCACAGTAGAACTATGAAAGGATACACAAGAAGGGTTGCCTTTTCTGTGTATACCCTTTTGTATTTTCTAAGTTTTGTATCAAATGCATATATTACTTATTAAAATGAATTTTAGCTTATTGCAGTGGTGCATGCCTGTAGTCCTAGCAACTACTCAGGAGGCTGAGGCAGGAGGATCTCTTGAGCCCAAGGCTGTAGTGCACTATTGTTGCACCTGTGAATAGCCACTGTACTCCAGCCTGGGCAACATAGTGAGACCCCCATCTCAAAAAAAAAGAATTTTAATGAAATAAAAATTAAAATAATAAAAGTTATGCCAAAAAAGGTAAAAGAGTTCCCAAGCCTTGTATTTCTGGACATTTTTTTTTTTTTTTAATATCCACACAGGCTGAGGTGGTCATTTTTTAAATTGAACCCAGCAGAACTACAGGAGAATGGAACCCCCCAAATAATGCCTGTGTCAGCCCATCCTTCAAACCCCAGGGGAGAATCAGTCTTGATGCCTAGGTGTGATGTGAGTCTTTCTGTTTCTCAGTCCAGAGGAGGTGGTAGTTAATGGTTTAAAATATGCACCTGCGGGAGTTTAATATCCTGCTACACGGGGCTTCCCACATTGACTAGTGCAGTGTTGCGGCAAGCAGGTATGCATGCCCATGTTGACTGAGTGTTGGGCCTGCAGAGGTCTTGAGTGGGTAAGAGAACAGATAGGGGATTGCCCTGGTGAGATACCCTATGTTTTGACAGTCTGAAGTTACGTCTGTCTCGGAAAAATTAATTGGAAAATAAGGTGAAAGTCAGCGTTTGACACCATGTTTCTTAAACAGAAGCCCTTCAGTAGGCTTTTAAATGGCCCTATGTGCCCATTTAGAGTCAGTAGCCACTCATGGAGTCATGCCCCACCCCACCTTGGATGCTGAGATGCCCCATCACCCCTGGCTGTGCTATAGTAGAAGCAGCAGCATGTGGCAGCTGGGTCCATTTAGTCCCCTCTTGAGTTTCTGGGCAGATGCTCTGAGAGCCTTAGCTGCCTGGTCCAGGTGTCTGTCACGGGCTGTCCACACCCTAGGCACAGGCCCGGGGCTTGGGAGCTGACAGGACTGCCCTAGGGCATGCTTTGCACTAGCTCAATCCAAAGCTCCCTTCAGAGCAACAATAGGTTTGGCCTCAGCCCTTTTAACACACTGAAGCAGCATCCAGCTCTACCCTCTTTTGTGAGTTGAGGCTTGTCTCTCTTGTTGATTATGTGGCATCACTGGGGCCAGCCAACACTGGAAAAGGAGTTTCTTCCATTTCTCTACAGCTGGCATTGTTCCACAGTGACTAATTTCCAGCAAAGTGTCCATCCCCATTTATGTAGCTCATCTGGGTTGAAATCAAGGAGAAGTGTGTATTGGAAATTGTCTTCCCAGTGCATGTAGTTAGTGATCACTGTACTCATATGAAGACTGTGCCCCACTTCCTTTGTCTTTTGCCAGTGTTACCAAAATATTAAATGTGTTTGTTCACATACGTCCTTAAGTCACCTAATCGATGTGAGTATTCGAGCTACTGCACACAGGGACCATCCATGGGCAGCCAGTTGTCTAGGTCTGAAGGACGTCTGCCAGCATTGAGCCCCTGTGTTTGAGGAACCCTCCCAGGGAGGCCCTTCCATGCTGAGGCACTGGAGAGAGGTGACAGTTACAGAGGAGTCAGGGTCTGTCCCACCTGCCCCTCCTCTGGATGGTGATTGCCTGGTAGAAACTCGAAGCAGGAGTGTTTGCATTGGCCTGGGCTTCCCAAAATGTAATAAAGTCTCCATTTGTTTTTAACTTTCAGGTGAAAGTGGGAGATACATTGGATCTTCTCATTGGAGACGATAAAGAAGCAGAAGCGGAGACAGTGATGCGGATTCTCCTGAAAAAAGTGTTTGAAGAGAAGACTGAAAGTGAAAAATACAGAGTGGTGTTACGACGGTGGAAGAAGTTAAGGTTACCTAAGAAGAGTATGTCTAAATAAAGGGATTGCTTTTTAGTGATAAAGCTGCTTTCTAGTGGTGGGGGAAGGGGCCGACTTAAAAGAGCACATTTTTATTAAAATAAAGTTCTCTTACCATTTTTGGAATCTGCTGAGCCATTTTGTGGAATTTGAGATCTATATCTTGGAGACACTTCACTTGGCCTGGGTTTCCCGCCCGGGCTTGATTTGTGCTCCTTTTGACACAATGAGGACATCAGCGTGAGGGCCCTTTTGTCCAGTGAGATATGTGCCGAATTGAACTAAGCCCAGAGAGGGTTTTAATGACTTGCCTGCTGTTTCCCACATAAACTACCTCAGGATTCATTGTAAAATAAACCAGCCTTCTTGTTTCTTAGTGTTCTTGTTTAAATTTTTTCCCTGTCTGGGCTGGGAGGCCAGCTTCCCTGGGTTCAGGCATCTTAAGACAAAACCAAGCAAAGTCAAGGTCACCCTTCAGACAGGGGAGAAGCACTGGGAGAGCCCTTTCCCCCAGCTACCCTTCTTTTTTTTTTTTTTTGAGACAGAGTCTCACTCTGTTGCCCTGGCTAGAGTGCCATGGCGTCAGCCTAGCTCACAGCACCTCAGACTCCTGGGCTCAAGCGATCCTTCTGCCTCAGTCTCCCGAGTAGCTGGGACTACAGGCATGC